ATATATATATATATATATATATATATATATATATATATATATATATATATATATATATATATATATATATATATATATATATATTTGGTGTGTTGCACAGCGCTTAGAATTAGCAATTGCAGATGCTTTAAAAGATACAGAATTCGATCTTGTAGATGAAATTATATTACGAAGTTATTGCCTGTACCAAAAAGCACCAAAAAAGCTCCGACAGCTTCGCGAGTTATATACTGTTTTAAAAGACGGGATGGATACGCTTGATGAAAGTTGCAAGCCTAAAAAAGCATCTGGAACACGATGGATTTCTTATAAAGTTAATGCCATGAAGTCTTTCCTTGACAAATGGGGTTTATACATTACCCATCTTGAACAATTAGCTGAAGACCCATCGATTTTAGCTCCTGACAAAGCTAAAATGAAAGGGTATCTCCTAAAATGGAAAAAAGGAAAAATACCACTTCTATTTGCATTTTTTATCGATTTACTCGAAATTCCCTCAATACTTTCAATGTCTTTTCAGGATGATCAAGTTGATCACGTTCAAGTAATGAACTGTCTTACAAAAGCAAAGGAAAGATGGGTATTATTTGAGAAAAAAAGTCTCGAAAATTTGCCTAGAGTTAAAGATTTTCTTTCACAAATCAAAAAAAAAAACGGCAAACATTATTATCATGACATTGAACTTAAAGACTTTGAGCGTGAGTTTAAAATTTTTAAAACAAAAACTGTGGAGTATTTAACAGTAGTCAGGGACTGCATTATACAACGTGTAGAAAACGAAAAAGAAAGTACTCTTATTTCAAAGTATGCATCCCAAGTATTAAATTGCAACGGCTGGCTTCGGGAGGTTATAGCTGAAAGCGGAATCATAACGCGAAATTTAGATTTTGCCGATGAAGCTTTAAATTATATATGCAAACACTTTCAAGAGCCTTTACGCTCTGCTGCTGTTGTTTTTCCAGACATCTTAACTCAATGGAAAGAAATGCTAAGTTATGCTCAAGAGTTTTTATCCCTAGAAGGGATATAAATATTTTTATCACCTAGAAGTAAATCATGGACCTCTATTTTAACAGTTGCTGAGCTATTGTTTACTTTGCCAATTTCTAACGCTAAGCTGGAAAGAATGTTTTCAAAGATGAAAAGTGTCAAATCAAATTATCGAACCTCATTGACAGAATCTTGTGTTTCAAATATTTTGCGCATTTTGGAAGATGGTCCATTGCTGAAAGAATTCAATTTTCTTCCTGCAATTGAATTGTGGTGGAGTGATAAAGGAAGACGCCCAAACCAAAAACCAACGGGAATTTATAAAGATCGGGTAAACAAAAAAAGAAACCGATGCATCGGCCGATGCCAATTGTTTAAAAAAGTCAATTTTTTTTATTTTTTTGTTTCTATATTGTATAAAAAAATATAATAATTATATTTTTTTATAAAATATAGAAACACAAAATTAAAAAGACTCATTTTTCAAAACAATCGGCATCGGCCGATGGTTACCAAGACCGATGCAACAGTGCACCCTTAGTCATTAGTATTGCGGTGTTAATTAGATTATGAAAGTATAAAAAAAAAACGTGTTATACTTTCATGTTTAGACTTACAAGTTAAAAACTTGTGACTTTTTTGGAAAAAAACGACAACATTTCTAAAAGAATAAAAACAGTTTTTAATAAAATAATAATAAATAGTTGTGTTTGCTATCGCGCTAACCATTTTTACTTTAGAGTATTGGTATTAACTATCTCTATTTAACGCTATTTATTGTGCAAACGTAATGTCTATACATAAACGAACAAACTTTTTTTGTTACTAATGACCGCACATACCAGTAGTAAATAATAAATCGGATATTAGTTTTATAGTAAAAATATTTTTTGTTGAAATTTATCGGTCATGTCCGACAAACCAAACAATTTATCGGACAAACTGTCCGAAACAAAAAAGTACGTTATTTCGAGCCCTGTATATATATATATATATATATATATATATATTTATTTATATAATTTGCAAGTTCTACTTATTATGTAAGTTGCTTTTTATTTTGCAATATTCAAGTAATTAATATGCAAGTTTAAAATTAATAGTTTTATTATTCAACTTGTTGTTTTTTTTTGTGCGAAAATAGGCCTCTTAGAATCGGCCTCTAAAATGTAACATATACGGCCGTATAATATAGTAGGCCATGGACCTACTACAATTCCCAATATCTTGATATAATGATATAAACTTATCAGAACTACTTATTAATTCAACTAATAATGGAGTCTTAGTTGCTGTTGATTTACAACAATACATTCTTTATACTTAATATAAAATGAATTCTTTGAATAATATATTTTACTAGAAAAGGTCTCTCACATTTTATTGAATTTCTTTCTTTTACTTGCAGAAGAATTGGTTGGATTAGTTATTTCAAAAATATGAATACTTTTTACATGCAACTTTATTGAATTTTACATATAATATATATATATATATATATATATATATATATATATATATATATATATATATATATATATATATATAAATATATATATATATATATATATATATATATATATATATATATATATATATATATATATATATATATATATATATAATTTTATGTGTAAATAAAAGCACAACTAACATTTTATTGTTTATTCTGAATAAACAAAGTCGTTAAAAGAAATGAATAATTGTCAGATTTTCTAACTTACCATCTAAACCATTTTATTTTATGATAGAATACAATATCGATACTTCTTAGGTTTTAGATTACTAGAAAGTTTGTGCTTAATGATTTTAACCACTACTTTTTAAAATATTCTTCTTTTAGTTAACAATCAATAAATGTCAACCCTCATATTGTCGTCAATAAAAATTTTTTTTATTTGGGACAACCTTTGCTAGGTATTATTTAGTTCAACCAACAATTTTTGAAAAACTGTTTGTTTTACACGAAGAAAGCCTAATTAGTATGCGTGACAAAGAAATGAATTAAGTTGATCACTTTTTTTTTGGAAAAAAGTGCTGCCATTAACAAGCAAGATCATTCGTTCAAAAATTAAAAAAAAAATTATTTCATAATTGAGGTTAGTTATACTCTAACTTTTTTTCAATATGTCCGAACATTATTAATTTTTATTTATTCTTATTCTTTATTTACATTTTCAATGGTTATTTTAAGTTTGGAAAATTACAAAAATCATCGCATATTAATAAATAATAAATAAAATACTTTAAAATATGCTAATAACACTTTTATATTAATGGAATTAAAAATATTTTCAGTAAACTAAATTTGCTGGTAAAGTATACTAAAAATAACAACAACAACAAAATCAAAAATAAAACTTGCAATGAAACATCATTTATGTTATTTTCGCATAAAATAACATAAATGATGTTTCATTGCAAGTTTTTACTCAAGGATAAGGCAGAACTATTTGCAAATAACTTTTTTTTTAATTCAAATATTGAATCTTATGACCATACTCTTTTTTCCATTCCAATTAAACAGATTAACTTATTGTCGGACATTTGGATCACTTTAACTTGCGTTGCTAAAGTCATGACTCAATTATGCTCTTCTATGGCTTGTTGTCCAAACAACCTGTCATAGCTTTACAAAAATGTTCCCCAGAACTCTCTTCAATTTTCTCTAAAATATTTAATAAGTGCTTGACTGAAGCTTGTTTTTGTGCTTGCCAGAAATTGGCATCTGTGGTTCCAATTTGAGACCATTCTGAACCTTCCAACTATTGTCTGATTAGTCTTCTACCTGTTATTAGCAAGGCCTTTGAGTTTTTGATTAACAAATTTCTCATATCCCCTTTTGAGTCAAATAACTTGGCAGGCAATCAATACGGTTTTTGATCCTTATGCTCTACAGCTGACTTGCTAACTGCTGTAACTGAAAGATTTTATTGTGCATTAGATGGAGGTGGCAAGGCTAGGGCTATTGCTCATAATATAACTAATGCTTTTGACAAAATTTGGCATGCTGGACTTCTCCATAAGCTTGCTTCATATGGTGTATCTTCATATGGTGAAAGTTTTTGAGATTTTCAAATCATTTCTTTTTAACAGCTTTATTAAACTCAATCTCAAAGGCCAATACTCTTCTTTATTTCTAGTAACTCTTCTGGGGTACCTCAAGGTAACCCAAATCTATCCTTGGTCCTGTTTTGTTTTTTATCTACATTAACGATGTTCCTGACAACCTTACATCTAAAGCGGCTCTATTTGGTGATAACTCAACTTTATACTTCTGTTTTGACAACACTTCTATTTTTGATTATTTAGAACAGACAACCAATTTTGAATCTGATATCACTTCTGTAACAGATGGGGTTTGCAGTGGCTTGTGAATAACTCCAAAAAAACTCCAAAAAAAGTTATTTACTGCAAACAACTATTGCAATATTGTCAACATTCTTATACTGATGAATAGTAACTCTTTTTTTTTTTGCACCTTTGGAATTCTCTTTCATCTTTATGTTTTCCTGAATCATGCAACCTACAACTTCTGTCTACGTTTTAATTGCACTTTAACTCTATTCTTTTTTTTTTCTAGTAGCTTGCAGCCTTGTTGGGAGTAAATCAAAATTAAAAAAAAAAAGATTAAAAAATTATTTGTGGAACGCTTTCAGAATATACAAAAATGAATTTATGAATAGGCTCTTTTGAGATAAATGGATTAAAGTAAAATAAAAAAACAATAAAAAAAAAGAAAAAAAAAAAAAAAACCAGATTGGATAATATGTATGGCCAAAACTAGGTGAAATCATTTATGCAATGTTGTTTTTCCATGTGGCATATGTTATTTTTGGTTAAGCTACTGAACATATACAGGTAACAACAATTCTACTGAACATAAACAGATAATAACAATTCTACTAAACATGTACAGATAACTTTTCCAAAAAAAAAAGAACATTTTATAAAAATCTAAAATTTATGATACCAATATTAAAACAAAATTTAAAATGTAACAAAAAAACCTTTCCAGTGCTTGTTTTAACTCTGGTACATTTTTTAAACATTGAATGGTTGCATTCATATAACAGGTGTTTCCAAGATTTGTTAAACCAGCAGGAAAAGAAGACTAAGCAAATAATGACATTGAATTAATGTGTGTAAGTTAGTGTGAAAAACTTACACAGTAAATATAACAAAAATATCAGATGTTCTTTAATCTATAAATAATAAATAAATAAATATATATAAAACTATATAATCTTATGTTAAATATAGTATAATATATACCAGCCCTTGGAATTATGAAAAATAAGGTTGGCAAAAAATTGCCAACCTAAAAATGATTTAGATATCTGGTATCAGGTCAGCATATAACTAAGACACAGGGTTCAACAAATCAATGAACATGCAAACTTTTATGATAAAATTGCCAGAAAAATAAACGCAGAGTTTGTTGACTTTTCTTCTGATTATAAACATTTGCTTCAAAATTTTTAAAATGAGGGAAGCATTTTATTAAGAATTTTAATAAAAAGTTTTGATTTTATTAGTTTATTTTGAATTAATAAAACGCTTTTTTTTTATTGTTTAGTTTACAATGTAAAATAAAAAGCTTGTTTTATTAATTTTTATTTTTTAATCATTTTGTTCTGAATTTAATTAAAATGCTAATTTTTCTGTTTTTATTTTATTTTTATTTTTTTTTTAAACTTAAATAAAGAACTTGTTTTGTCTTAATTTATCTTGATTTATTTGGAACAAATAAAATTAATTTTTAAAATTCTGAAATTAACAAAAAATGTTGATTCTAATTATGTGGACTGATATGCAATGTATAAAAAAAGTTGTAAGTTGAGTTTTTTATAGACTTGCATAACTCATTATTAAACAGTTTTTAAGGGTTCATAGCTAAGGGAATCAACGGCTTTAAAGAATTTTTTTAAACTTTGTTTTTGTCATAGTTTTATCAAAATTTTCTTCTCATTGCATTTCTTTTCTACAAGTATCTCAATTGTATCTATTTTTTAAGCTAAAGACCTAGCCTTTGTTGAAGCCAGATTATAATATTATACTTTCTGCTTGATATCTAGTTTTTGATTAATTAAAATGTAGTTTCCTATTGATTGAAATGTAGTTTCTTATTGACTTACATATAGTTTAGTTTTTAGCGATTCCTCCTATTTCCGTGTTTAAAAACAACATTCTGTAGGTTATTCTCCTGTTTCTGAGTTCTTAAAAAAATATTTTGTAGGTGTTTTTAAAAACATTTTAGCAATTCCTCCTATTTCTGTGTTTTTAAAAACAACATTCTGCAGGTCATAGTTTGGGATAATGTTGATTATTATAAAAAGTAAAAATTTAAAAACTTTTAAAATGTGAAAAAAGATATAAGCTTACTGCTTTATTTAATTCTGTACTTGACATATCTTCAATAAATTTGGTGCCAAGTTGAGGGGTTGGAACCAACTCGTTACTACCCATCATAAGTAGTGTCATACCCTAAAGCAAATAAACTCATCATAAGCAATGCCATACCCTTAAAATATTTATGTATTTAACTTTTTATCCTATTTTTAGAAATCTATCTTTAAAAAGTGATTGAAAAGTTTATCAAAATAATTGAAACAAAACAAACAATAAACATGATCTAAAAAAAAAATTTTTTTACTTTCTTAAAATTTATAAAGTGATTCATGGATATAGAAAACATGAAGAGTGCATAAATTTTGGGCCCCAGTATGTTTCAATGATAGTACAACACGGAGGTGTATCAGTATGTTTCAATGATAGTACAACATGGAGGTGTATCAGTATGTTTCAATGATGGTACAACATGGAGGTGTATCATATGTACAATCTGGATTGAACAGAAAAGATAATTATAAGATAGATACTTGAAGGTAACCATAATTAAAACAAGCATAGAAACTGCTAATACTAAGTAGCTACTTAAATGCAAAATTTCTATTAGAAATTTTTAATAAAATTTCTATTAGTACCTAAATGGAACGCAATATTGGCAATAAAATACCCATTTATCTAAGTTTGAAATAACAAAAAACCCTAATAATAAAAAAAATGTTTCACATCCTTACTAGATAAGTGAAAAATATGAAGTAGAAGGATTTCATCAAAATCAGAAACTTGAATTATCAAAATTAAATCTTGTGTTTTCTAATAATTTTGAATAAAATAGTAAAATTAAATATACTCAAATAGAAACAAAAATAAAAAAGTAAATAGAAATATTTATATTAATCTTTTTTACAAAATTTCAAGTGTATATTTTTTAATAATTTAAATTTATATTTTATAATGTAAGAATTGTTTAAAATTATTATTAGTAACTAAAAAAGTTTTTAATTAACTGAGACAATCATTTGTATCAACTGAAGTCTCTTGATTGAAATTAACAGAAACGCCATCTTCATCATTATCATCATGATCACTAGTATTAAAAAGCATTATATCAGCAATATATCTAATAATACTTGCATTAAAAGCATTATATCTAATATGACTTGCTTCTCATGGAGTGGTATTAAAAAATAAGCCAATTGCTTTATATTTTGCAAGTTTTCTACATTTTGAATGTATAAAATCATACAAACTCCATATTCAAGTCATTTTCTACATTTTGAATGTATAAAATTATTCAAACTCCATATTCAAGTCATTTTCTACATTTTGAATGTATAAAATCATACAAACTCCATATTCAAGTCATTTTCTACATTTTGAATGTATAAAATCATACAAACTCCATATTCAAGTCATTTTCTTCATTTTGAATGTATAAAATCATTCAAACTCCATATTCAAGTTATTTTCTACATTTTGAATGTATAAAATCATACAAACTCTATATTTAAGTCATTTTCTACATTTTGAATGTATAAAATCATACAAACTCTATATTCAAGTCATTTCCTACATTTTGAATGTATAAAATCATACAAACTCATTTAGCGTAGAGTCGGATTTGCAAAAAGTCTCTTGAAAGATTTTATTTTGTTTTTTGAAGTTTGATAATTGTCAAGTCTTCTTGTTTCAACTATGTACTTTGGAAGTAACTCAAGGACTATTACAAGATCACTTTAACTGGATGGAAGAGGCTCAGTATCCAAGGAAGTATATATCAAAAGTATCCAAACCCCATGGATGGTGTATGAACAAATTCCCATTGGCATAAAACAAGAGTTTTCAAATATTGAGTTTTAACTCCATATTTACATTAAATTAACAAATCCAAAATAAACTTCAGAAAGTAAAAAAGCGATTCCAGTTTACCTAAATCTGATTCCAGTTTACCTACTAGTTTTGATAATGGTTTTATAACATTAATAAGTATAGTGTCATAGTTTGAATTTAGCATTGCTCTTTTATCAGGCTGGCTAGAAACAGAATGTTCAGAGGTTTTTTTTTAGCATCTTCACATCCAACAAGGCTGCAAGCAACCGCTATTAGAGTTATAAATTACTGGAAGAAGTGGAAGTTACTGCAAGCAACCACTATTAGAGTTAAAAGTTACTGGAAGAAGTGGAAGTTACTGGAAGAAGTGGAAGTTACTGGAAAAAGTGGAAGTTACTGGAAGAAGTGGAAGTTACTGGAAGCAATCACTATTAGAACTGGAAATTACTGCAAGAGAAAAGATGAAATTTATAAAGCAAAACAAAGATTAACAGACAATTTAAAAGATGCAAATGATTCAGGAAAACAAGATAAAGAGAGCGAAATCCAAAGAAAAAATTTTTATACTTTGTTACCTTAATGTTGGAAATCACTTGTAACTACTTGACAAAATAGCCCAGCAATCTACAACAGTTTCTATCCTACTATATAACACATATATATACATACATGTTTGTGAGGTTATGTTATCATTCCCTTTTGTTTCAACTAAAACACTTCTTTTTTTTTATAGTTTAGAAGCACAACTCAGCATTTCAGAGGCTTTTTCACATCCCCTTATATGCTGTCATCATCTCAAAGTTAAGTGTGCTGTAATTTATCACTATACTAACAATAATTTTTTCTTTGTGAACCTTTCCCAAAAAAAGAGACATGCTTGTAATTTTTATCAGTCATCTTATTTTACTTAGATAGTAAACATGTGTAAATTTGGTAACAATAATAATAACAACAACAATAATGTTAATTAAAATAGTATTATTTCAGATCACATAAACCCATAAAATAAACAAAAAACAAGTACAAAAAAAACAAAAAATATTTTTTAAAAAAGGAAAAGAGCAAATAAACAAACAGTGTGGTAAAAAAATTCATTAGTATACAACTATAACAACATAACAAACTAAAATAAAAAATATTAAAAAATTAAATTAAAAAACACTTTAATTATGATAATACAACAAATATAGTATAGCAATTAACTTCATTAAGAAAATATAATTTATTAACTATCAAGTCAGTCCGGAAATATTTCATAAGTAAAATAGATATACTAATAGTATACTTTTTTTTTTTTTTTTTTTTTAACATCTTCGCTTCCAACAAGGCTGCAAGCAACCACTGATTAGTGTTGGAAGTTACTGGAAGAGAAAAGATGTTTGAGGAAAAAAACTAGACAAATAAGAGTTTTTGGAGCACTTAGGAACAGTAACAGAAAAAGGATGAGACTTAATTGAATGACGAGTAACACGAGAATGAATTTTAGTAGATCGCACAAGAGTAGCTAGCTCTTTAGAGCAGTGCCCATTATAGTATTTGTAGAAAAGAGAAAGAGAAGCAACATTACGACAATGTGACAGAGGTTGAAGGTTGGCTGCAAGAGTAGGTTCAACTATGTTTACAATGCGTTTTTGCACCTTGTCTAAAAGAGAAAGGGCATCATTAGAAGATCCACCCCAGATATGGCAACAGTATTCCATACAAGGCCGGATTTGAGATTTATAGAGATAGAGAATAGAATCCAGAGTAAGAAAGTGACGAGCTCGATAAAGACTTTAGCAGATGCTAATTTTGCAACGGATTTGATATAAGGTTTCCAAGAAAGATCAGAAGTAAGAGTTAATCCTAGAAGATGAAGGGTAGGAGACTCATCAAGTACATTACTGTTCATAAATATAGGAAGGTCTAAATTATTGCGATAATGATTGGCTGAAAAAAATTGAGTTTTATCTAAATTAAAGTTCACCAGCCACTGTGAGCCACTAACTTTTGGTATTATTTTTGTATAAATTTAATATTATTTTGGTATTATTTTGGTATATTTGGTATACTAACTTTTAGTATACCAAATATATGGTAAAGTTTAACATAAAGTTAGAACATCAAATACTGTAATCGATGATCCTTAATAAGCGAATAAAAATAACATAATAAATAAAAATTTCCAAAGTCTTTGAAAATGTAACTTTTAAAGACTTTAAAATTTTAAAAACAATACTAATTTTAGTGCTATAAATACAAAATATGGAAATTATTCGGATATTTGTTAGAAGTTTTGCTAATAAAATCTTAAAACCGAAAATATTTTATTTTTTTGGATTTAGCAAGAAATTGCAAATGAACTTGATTTCATTGTAATACATTAATGGAAATAAAACAAAGTAGAAAAGGGGTATTCTTCATTTAATTAAAAATTTTATTTTGTCAAGTCTCCAGCTGAATTCAAAAGATATTTTTACATAGGAAAAAACTATGCAGACTCATGAAGTTAATATTAACCTCTCAGCCTGCAAGTATAATAGCAAAACTACAAATGTTTTTTGTTATTATCTCAATAAATAATTTTAATAAACTTAATTCTTATAAAATCAAAACTTTCATGTTAATTTATAAAATAAGCTTGTTTTGGCACTTCATTTAATTTTACATTTTTAAATAAGAATAAGTTTCAACTGCTAAAGGACTAGTGACTAGTTTCAACTAGTGACTAGTGGCTGTAAAAGCTTGGCATACATGGTAATATCAAACATTTAAACAAATCTTTGGAAAAGCTTCAGTCAAAAATAAAGATTTACTTAAGGTTTTAGATTGCATATTTATTTTTTTAAATCAACTTTTTTTTACATAGCATCAGGTTATTGAAAATCCAGTTTTCTTTTTTTCCCTATACCTAACCTGTCATTATTCGGACCAAGATTTTTACCCATTGGTTCAAGTTCAAAATCATTGAACCAACTACATTTCATGCTTCAACACACTTTGAAAAAAAAGACGTTTTTTATACAAAAAGTGTGATAAAAAAAAGTGCAAATAACTTTGCAAAAAAACGTTTATGGTGGATTTTTTACTGCTAAATGTAAATAAAAACACCTTTTACATATTTTGTCCATGTTAACAAGTTGAATACACTACTTATGTCTGAATTTTATACTTTATATTTATCACATTATACTTACATGTCTGTATTGTTAAATCTAGCTTATTTACATAATGCAGAAAATTATATATAAAAACCAGAAAAATCAAAGATGGTGACTCAGAAAGTTTTCTATAGTAGTTCTAATAGTTAAGGGTTGTTTCTGCTATCAAAATTAAATACTTTATAGAATTTTTCAAAACATAAAATTTACGAATAACTTTAAAAGAAAGAAAAATTTTAAAAAAGTAAAGCTTACATCTTTTAAAGTAAATCCATCCCATGAATCATTCTAAACAGAATAGTTACATAAAAAAAAAGAATGAAAAAAAATATTGTAAGATTTTTTAGATAAGATAATATTGTAATCAGGGTTGGCAAAAATCCGGGTTTTTTTTTAAAAAAACCCGCCTAGTGGGTTTTTTTGGGGTAAATTTGGGTTTTTTTTGGGTATTTTTAGGTTTATTATTTTTTTTTATTTTTGTCAAAAAAAAATTTTTGTTTGCTTAATAATATTGAGAACTAATATCATTTTTAACTTTAAGTTTATTTAGAATATATTTTAAAAGCTTTTAAAATTTATACACCTCAAATTATTTTCAATAAGTTTTTTTTAATTACAGTTTAAAAAAAATCTAAAAATGTAACAAAATAAAAAAAAATAATGATAAACCTATATGTATTGATTTATATAGATTTAATAATAATAATTTGTATAATTAAAAATGCCGATGGCAAAGCATACAGAAGGGGAAAATGTCAATTTGTCAAAATATTTAAATAAAAATTGTGATGATGTACCAAATAATGATTTAATTATTAGTGCATCTGCTCTAATAGCTGGACCATTATCTCAAGTTGGAAAAAGTTCTTTGGCATCTGTAAGTTCTATAAGTTCGTTAACACCTTGTAAGAAGCAGCAGTTGATGTCATCGTACACAATATCAACTAATATGGAGCAGAAAGAAAATATTGATTAAAAATAGCAAAATTTTTCTTCAGTGCAAATGTATCATTTAAAACTTCTGAAAATCAAGAATTTATAGACATGATCAATTCATTGAGACCAGGATACAAACCACCTAACCATAAAATGCTTGGAGGAGAGCTCTTAGAAAAAGAGGAAGTAAACAAAAAAATGATGGATCAACTTACCCAAGAAGAGAAAACAATAACAATTATGCAAGACGGATGGAGTAGTGTTACTAATGATCCATTATTGCTCACAGTGATATGACGGACTTAATTCTAAAATTTTATGCATTACTGATTGTGCATCAAATAAAAAAACAGCCAAGTATTGTACCGAACTTCTATGTAATGTCATTAAAGATCTTAAAGAAACATACAATAAAGAAGTATTTGCTGTGGTAACAGATAATGAAAATAAGATGAAAAAAATGAGGGATTCAATCAAAGAAACGTATCCAAATCTTTTAACATATGGGTGTTCTGCACATTATTTAAACCTTTTAGAAAAAGAAGTAACACACCCAGATGTCATCAAACATGTGGTTGAAGTGCAGAAATATTTTCGTAATACACATCAACCGCATGTAAACATTATTTTGTATTTGTGGGTTAAACTTAAAGTATAAAAAATATATAAAAGTTTAAAATTAACTATTCAATTTTTATTTTAAGGGATGGTTGCATGAGAAAGGAGGGCATATGCCTCAGTTATCACATGATACCCGACGAAACTCTCAAATTGACTGTATAGAAACATACATAAAAAACTACCAAATTTATGTAGAAATAGTAGATAATCATGATATATCTATCAAAATCAGAAAAATTATTGAAAATCAACCAATATTTAGAAAAGCTAACAGTCTTCAAACCCAACTCAAAATATTTGGTCTTGTTTTAGATCAATTATTTAGTTTTTTTATATTAAAGTTTTATTACATAATAAGATTTTGTAGGTGTAAAGGAAAAGTAGTAAAAATAAATATATTATGTTGATTAAATAAATTAAAAATTAAAATTTTTCTAGATGCAAAGTGACAGCTGTCATCTATCCGAATGTGTTGAGTTGTGGCTCTCACTTCTGAATAACCCTGAACTAAGTCATTACCACACAGCTATCAAAAAGAGATGTAATGATGCTATGACACCTATCCATTATCTTGCATACATGACCAATCCTCGCTTTTTGGGTAAAAATAAGTTTTGCTTAAAAAAAAAATTGTTTTCACACCTATATGCTAATCTGAATTTTTTTTTTTTAATAGGCAAAAACCTGCCACTTGAAAATGAAGATGAGGCTGAAGAATGGCTTTACAATCATTATCCTGATTTTGTACCTGGGTTGATTTGGCTTAAATTAAAGGATTGTGATGCATTTCCTAAAAGGATGTTGAGAGATCAAATTATATCAAGAATATTGTGCAGTGATTGGTGGTCTATCATTAACCAGAGAGATGAAAAATCAATTCAGAAAAAATTGCCTAAAGGATTTTGCAAATTTATTTCTAAACTTCAAACATGCCCTGCTAGCTCAGGATCAATAGAAAGAATATTTTCTTTGTTTGGTTTTATTTGGTCAAAAGTTAGAAATAAATTAGGATGTAAAAAGGCTAAAAAGCTTGTGCAAATATATAGACAGATTCAAAAATAGTTTAGAGTTTATGTTTTTACATTAGAGTTTGTTTTTACAATATAAAGTGAATATTACATTAAAGTAAAGTTGTATTTGCAAGAAGTATACCAAAAATGTAATTAGTCTTATCAATGTGTACATATTCTAAAAAATCTTACTGAATGAATCTAATTTGTTAGGCTTCCAAAATAAAATTGTGTTAAATAAAAATAATGTTGTGTTTAAATTAAAAATTTCCATTTATAGCTAGCTCTATAATATGTTTATGTTTTCAGAAATGTTGGGTAATAATAGTATATATTAATAATGTAATAGTTCATAAGTTTTTAGATTTATTTCAAAAAACCCAGATTGGTTTTATTGGGTTTTTTAGGCGGGTTTTATTGGGCGGGTTTTTTAATGCCAACCTTGATTGTAATAGAAAATCAGTAAAACATGTATGCAATGACAGAAAATAATCCTAATTGATGTGAAAATTCAAAATTTACAAAAATTTTGAATTTTCACATCTTTGTTTAATAAAATTTATTTCAATAAATTTTCATGCATGTTGCAAATTGTCACACTTTATTAAGAATTGTTTATAACATTTGTCCATAGTATTATCATATATATCATGTTCTGAGTACTTGTTGCAGTCGATATCATTTTTTGCATAACTTATTATATAGTTAATTATTCAGTTATTTTTAGATGAACTAGCATTGAACAAATAACAAACAAAGTATTTATTTTGTTTTGAAATTATTTTTTTTTTAAATGCTATCAAGTTTTATATAAAAAATAATATTAACGTAACAATAATTTAATAAACCAAAATTTTTAGAAAAAAACTTCTATGAACATCGAAGAACATTTCAAGACATTCAACTTTTCACCTCATTACAAACATTTTTAACACAACACCAAGTAAACAAAGAAAATTTACTTTTAACTAGTAAGTGACCAGGGCACCAGCCCCGTCTAAAATAAGACTTTTTGCAAATCGAACCCTGGAAAAATTATAAAAATTTAGCAGGGGTTGATAGCAGGGCTAGAAATAAATTTATAATTTTTTGTATATTATAATTTTATACTTACATTTACTATTTATTAAATTCTGGTATATATTTATGCTAGTATTTAATAAATAGGGACAGATACAATAAAAGGATGCAACTTGTTGAATAAGAAGCCAAGCAAGAATGAGTTCTGGTTTATTGTAATAGAGATGATAGCTTGTTTGAGATTTAATCATGATTAGAGAAACAGCATAAAAGAGGAAGGCTAAAGCCTTAAGTCATCAACATCAGCAGATGATGATGATGATTATCATCATGATGATAATAATGATGATGATGATGACAATAATGATGATAATGATGATAACGATGATGGCGATGATGATAATAATGATAATAATAATGATGATGACAATTATGATGACAATAATCATGATCATGTTGATGATAATAATGATGATGATCATCATGATGATAATGATGATGATTATGTTGATCATAATGATGTTTATAAATGCATATATACTAAATCAAACATAAATTTAAGAAAAAAAAATGTATTTTGGGATGTATAAATGTTTATTAAGCCCCAGCCCAGGCTATATTTTATCAAACCTGGTCCCGGCCCCGGTTAAATATAAACCCCTGTTGTTTACTAATATTAGCACATTACCCTAAAAAAATATTTTTAGTTGAAATTAGTTTAAAAAATTAAATATGTTACATAAAATATTAAACACCATAAATGTAAATCTCACTTTGAGAGTTTTTCCTTTGCCCATGATCTTTTGCCTCTGAATAGGTACACCAGATAGAGCAAATAACTGAGCTTGAAACAGTTCAGGTGGTTCAGCAGTATTAACTTCAACATTGTCGAACTTTTCTTTGCCCCATTTTACATGAACTACAATTAAAAAAAAAAACATGAACTATCTATCTGCACAACAATTTAATAAATCATTACTCCATAATTTTTACAATTTTGACAACAACAAGGCTTAATACCTTATCATAATTTGTTTTAATCATAAATGCTTTTTTTTAAATTAAAAACTTTCTTTTTTCTTTCTGTTACATAAATGATAGCTAAATTATTTTTTTATAGAGGCTTCCCACTAATACTGTACACTTAACATGCATTTTAAATTACTAATTTTCAATCATATGTAGCTGAGACAAAAAGGTTGCCAATAAAATCACTAAACACCTTAATTTCTAACTAAAAATTGTGGTCAAAAAATCAAATGTTACCATAAAGTATCTTTAAAATTAATTCAAATTTTTTTTTTTTTACATTTCAAAAATATAGCAATATAAAAAACACTATGAAATTCAAATGATGTGTTTATTAAAATTAATTACTATGGGATTCTTGAAACTCTTATCAATATATAGCATGCTGTTGTTGGATTTTATTTTAGGTTTGCATGTCAGGCTTAGGAACAAAATCAATCCCAACAATTTTTAAAATCTTACTTGTAAAGCAAGGCTTTTTTTTTTTTAATTATTCACCTCCCCAAGGCCCGAGGGGGCCACTACAGTCGAGGAGGCTACTCATTTTTTTTTTTTTTTAATTTTTTTATTTATTTATTTTTTATTGTAAATCGTGGTACAACCCTCTCTCAACTCTTTAACTTCGAAACACGAACCTTGACAAGCAAGGCCGCTGCATGGAGAAATTAAGTTAAAATTAAGTTAGGCTTTAAAAATAATTTATTTCCAATATTATCACCCTAACCCTAATAGTATAAATAATCTATATTTTTTACTAACAAATAAAAATCAAACTAAATAATCTGTTTCAGCAATTAAATTTTCAATTTATCTTGACTAATAAATAAATAAGCCTACCCAGTACCCAGCACATCTACAAGTTTTTTGCTGAAAATTAGTTCAAAGGAGTCTTCTGTAAAATCAAAAAATCAAATACCAAAAAAAAAATTTTCTTTTTTCCAAAAATCTTAACTGACTCCTAAGTTTCAAACCTTTTCAATTATTTATTAGAAAAATGTTGTTCCTATAGTTTCTGATCTATATCTAATGGTACATTATTATTATTAATGTTCTTTTATTATTTATTTTATTATTGTTTTTATTATCAGAATCATTTATATTATTGAATTATTTATATTAATAGTAGAATTACAATTATTATTATTATTGTTATTATTATTATTATTATTATTACTATTAATGCAAAAAAAGATCCAAAGGAAATGAGATTGTTGCTGGTTTGAGGAAAAAAAACTTTTAAAGTTTTAGCATTTGTCTCTAGTTTTAGTTTCGTTGTTAAGTTTTTTTATATAACAGAAAAAAATTATTAGAAAGCTAAATTTGAAATTAAATAACTTTAGTGGTTTGTTCTGAAAAGAATTGTTTGAATTTAGATTGTTCAAGGTTTGATTTTTAGCTTAGCCCAAAATTTCACAGAATCAAATATGGCATGGTAAAAGTAGATTGAAAAGATCTGGTAGCTCGCTTAGTTCAAAAATAAGTTAATATACTAAAGGGTAATACGAAAATAGTATGGAGAAATCAGACGTGATATATTATTTTTTGTGTAATAATTTCATTGTAAATCTGTAATTAACCATAAAAACTAAATAAATTTTGAAATAATTTTAAGAAAAGTTAAAAAAAAAAAACTTTATTTTGAATTAATTTATACTTGAAATTTATTTTAATTTAAATTCTTAAACTTTTAGGATTAAAAATAAATTAATTTTAAATCACTATATAATTTGTATCAAAAACATTACCGCTATAGGTCGCCATATTTTTTCCTAAATTATATTTTACCGACCGATTAGAAACAAGTTTCCAAGTTTTAGTATTCAATAAATTTTTGCCAAAGAGAAAAATCTCTCGTCCTGAGGGATGAGAGACTTTTTTTTTTCCTTTTTTTTTCAACATCTTCACTTCCACAAAGGCTGCAAGCAATCACTATAAAAATTGAAAGTTACTGAAAAAGAAAAGATGAAGTTTATAAAGCAAGATAACGATTAACAGACGACTTGAAAGATTGCAAACTATAAGAATAAGGAAAACAAAATGAATGAAGCGTATTCCAAAGAACTGATATTCCAGGTAAAAAAACTAGACAAATAAGAATTTTGGAAAACTTTGGAACAGCCACAGTAAAAGATAAGACTTGATTAAATGACAAGTAACACATAAATGAATTCTTGTAGATGGCACAAGAGACGCTAGCTCTTTAGTGCAGCGCCTGGTATAGTATTTATAGAAAAATAAAGCAACATTATGACAATGTCATAATGGTTGGAGATTGGTTGAAAGAGCATGCCCAACTATGCGTAATTGCACCTTGTCTAAAATTAACAATGCGTAATTGCACTTTGTCTAAAAGAGAAAGGGTATCATTTAAAGATACGCTCAAGACATAGCAACAATATTCCATACAAGGATGGGTTTGAGGTTTATATAAATAATAGAATCTGGAGATATATAAAGAATAGAATTAAGAGAAAGAAAGTGGCAAGCACGATAAAGAGATGCAACCTTAGCAGATGCTAATTTTGCAATGGACTTGATATATGGTTTTCAAGAAAGATTAGAAGGAAGAGCTAATCCTGACAAAACAAAGGGCATGTGACTCACCGAGTACATCACCGTTCATAAATATAGGAACATCTAGATTATTGCGAGGACAACTTTTATACTAAGAATGGTAAGGAAGGACTCAATAAACTTTAAGATGTTATCAGATACACCTTAAGAACATATTTTATGGAGAAGACCATCATGCCAAACTTTATCAAAGGCTTTTGAAATGTTTAGAGCAATTGCCTTAACTTCTCCACATCTAATGTACAATAAAGTTTATTGGTTGTTACCGTTAATAAATCAGCAGTAGAATAAAAAGATCGAAATCTGATGATCAGAAAGTACAACAAATAGCAAGATATGTAGCAGGGACGAGAAGACTAATATATCTTATTGCCAAGCTCCTTGATAAATTTTGTAAATTTAAAGTTTAGACTTTTAAAGTTGGTCCTCTAACTGAAATTGAAAACTCAGTGGCCGCAAAATAACTTTTGGGTTGTATATGGGTGTTATTTGAATATCTAGTTAAGTATTTATTTCGATTAGTTTTGAATAAAAGATTAAAAGTTTTTGGAATGTATATATATATATATATATATATATATATATATATATATATATATATATATATATATATATATATATATATATATACACACACAAGATACTTTTAGTTTATCAGAAAAGATTTCTTTTTCTAAAAAAAGACTGAAAATGTGCAAAAGCGGGGTTTTTAAATAAAATATTGATTTAGTTATTATAATGCTACTGACGTCATCAACTTCATTATCTTTATTTGATTTAAAAAATTTTACAGCATCAAGTAGTTCTTTTAGGATAACTTATTTGTTTTCAGATAATTATTAGAGGACCTTTAATAATAATCTTATGGAAAATAATAGTTTATCTAAAAAAGAACTGCTTGATGCTATATTTTTTCAAAACAAAAGATTTTTTTAAAAGTAAAAACTTTTTTTTTGTTTGTATTAGTGTGAAAATACATATCTGGAGGTTACTTATCTTAAGCCATAAAAAATCTTGAAATTGATCTTTTAGTATATATTCAATTGTTTTTCAATTAGAGAATGGTTTAAACGACACAAACTAATGTTTACATTTATATTTATTTCCATTTAAAATCAGTTATTGTTTCTAAAAGGTACACATATATATTATAGCATAATTAATTGTAAAGTAAAACTGTTTTAAAGAAAGGAGTTGTTAAGCAGGCTTTGCAGATAGTTCAAGGCTACTAGAAACTTTGTATACACTCTCCCAAAACTGTTTGAAATCATAATAAACAGATTCAGAGGCCTGTGCAGACCAAAAACTCAATCCTTTATTTGGATTGGAATTTAAGATAAGTGAAAGAAATTCACATGTATGCTTGATAAGAGCATGCCCTTTCGGTGATACTCGTAGACTAAGTTTAACATAAGCATCTTTGTATTCGTTAATGGTTGATTCATATACAGGTAACAAACTAAAAACAAGACATGAAACTATAACAGATTTTAAATCAATTAACCAATATATTTCTGAAATAGTTACATTTCAAAGTTGTTTACAAATAGTAAGATTAGTAACATTAAGTAGACATCTAATGAAAATGATTAACATTAAGTAGACATCTTATGAAAATGATTAACATTAAGTAGACATCTTATAAAAATGATTAAAATAATAATGGTTATAGTAATAAAAATAATATTTATAATAATAATAACATTTTGTTTTAACAATGGTAATTAACAATAGTAATAAAGTAATTATAATAATTTAAATAAATCGGTTTTAAGTATTTAATTTGTAACCTTTCCATACAACAAACGTTTATACATACAAAGTTACAGTTACAAACAGTAATAAACTGACAAAACGTAATAACCAACGATGACATAAAAATGATTATTGCTAAAAAAATGATAAAGATTTAGTAAATATATTATTTATAGTTTTTAAAATATAATTACCAAAATATATTGCAAATAACCCTGACCAAATAAATAAATAAAATATAGGCAGAAAAACACTGAAAAAATCAAAACAAAACAAAAGTTACAACAAACATTACAAACAAAACAAAAAACTACGTTAAGTACTTATGGCAAAAAAAACAACAACATAAGATTAAAAAATAATAATATTAAAGAATAAGTAAAGAATGAAGGAAAAAATTTACGGTAGAAAAATAACATATAAAATAAATGGTTAAAATGAAAATAAATGCAAATAATATACAACTGTGTAAAAAATTTATATATCACTATTAAATAATAAATAATGAGTAAAAATTAAAACAATAAAAGAGTAACAAAAAATAATAAGTAAAATTATATATATGATAGAAAACTAAAAAAGTAAATGAAAAAATCTTTTTTCGTTGCTTTTTTCCGATGTTTGAAGAACCTTGGTTCCATGTGTATAAGTCCACAAGTGTTTTAAATTTGTTTGTTTACGAAATTTGGATTTTTCAACTGGAAAAAGCGTATTCGAAGGGCTTTGCATTTGTTCAACGGCAATGACTGCAACCTTGATTTTATCTACCTCCTCCTCAAATTTTCTTTTCAATACTTACAATACTTGAACATTAAAGTTCAGCATCTAGCCTAACTTGATATCAAAAGAAATTAACATCCATATTTTCAGTTTTTGTATTTCAAATACTTTATATAAATTTCTTAATTTCAAGTTTGAAATATTAAATCAAAAATAATAGGTTCGCTCTACCTTTGTCAAGTTCTACTGTTAATTTTTTTCTTCTCGTTGTGAGAATGTAAGGGTGGGTAATCCTTTTCCAATTACGACCTTTTACATATATTTATTTTTTTAGGTAATGATGCATTTATTCTTCCCAACCCTGACCCTAACCCTAACCCAAACCCTAACCCCTAACCCTAACCCTGACTTCCTGTTAAATGCTCACCCGCGGTGCTCTATGATAAGACCGTAAGGACTTCTGGGAGCACCTAAATACATACAAAAAAAAAAAAAAAAAAAAAACTTGGTTCTTCCTTTATTTGTAGATCCTGCAGTAATTTCAGTTAGAGCAACTTCACAAACACAGAATGATTGGTTTCTGGTAAGTATACTTACTTTGACTTTTGAGAAATCATACGGCTTACTCAGAATAATATTTTTATCTCCTTTTTCAAACCTTTCTAATATATTTTTATATTTAGTAAAAATGCCACGAGGAAAGTTTTCATTGTTCAAATCATATGGTTTTAAAAAAAATTTATGTATTCTGTTAAATGTCACACAACCTTCTTTAACTTTTGTCATTCCTGATCTTTTTGAAAAATAAATTAGACAGACTAAAGCTTTATTATCTTTATGAGAGTTTTAAATGTTTGGCATTTTAAAACGATACGAGATACTAATCAATTAAAAACTTTTTTTTTTTAACTACCGATACTGCAGCAGATAAAAAGAGTTCATTATATCTAATTTTATTATGATAATTTTTTTTGCAGTATACCACAAGGAAGTATACAAAACAGAGGAATTTTGTTTATACATTTAACCTGTAATGAAAACGTTTTTTTTTTTTACCGTAATTGACGAATTATTTAAAATTTCCCATATAATTTGGGCCTTTAAGGCCCAAGTATTTGTTAGGGAAGGGGTTTATAATAGCACTTAAAAAAAATTCTACCATTACGAACTCGACTAAAATTCATCTAAAAAATTTTCATTTAGTAAAAAATTATTTTCACGTTCTAAAGTTATGACCTCGTAAAGTTGACGACCCCCTCAAATAAAAAAATAAAGGGGTTTCAAACTTTCCTTTGGTCGCCATTTTTACACGAGAAGAAGTTTTTTTAGATAAATTTACTTTTTCGATGAATTTCGATCTACTTTAAGATAATGCAAAGAAAAAAGTTTTTTTTTCTTCTTTCCACATTTAGGACAGTGGGCCCTGATTTTTTAGGAGTATATTGTTCCCAGACTTCTAACACTGTAATTTTTTGAAAGCGTTCTTATTTGATACCAGGATCAATATTACGAAATTTAAAATTTGCACCATCTTTAAAAGTTACCTATTTTGAGCACCCCCCCTTTTTTTTTTTTTTCTGACGTCGACAGAATATTTTCAAAATTTAGATAATAGTTGTTCGAAGTATCGTGGTTTCGAAAATGTAAACCATTTCTGATATTTTTTTCAAATAAATTATTTTCGCTAGTGTGCGATCTTCACAAGAATTTGTATTTTATTTTTTTAAACAACTCGTAATTTGAAATAGTAAATTTATATA